TGTAGCTCAGGGGCTAAGGTGCCAGCCACGTACACTGGAGCTGGCAGGTTCGAACCCAGCCTGGGCCTTCCAAAACAACAATGACAAGCCGGGTGTTGTGGCAGGCACCTGTAGTCCCAGCTATTTGGGAGGCTGAGGTAAGAGAATTGCTTAAGCACAAGATTTTGAGGTTGCTGTGAGCTGTGATGCCTCGGCACTCTACCGAGGGCAACATAATGAGACTCTGTCTCCAAAAAAAAAAAAAAAAAAAGCCTAAATACAGAATGACATTTCATATATTATTTATGTAAATTTTCCTCATAGTAAATATCCATATGTTATTCAATACTACGTTTAAATCTTGGTAAAAGTATTTAAAGAAATACTGGAGGAAAAGGAACTCTATTCTTACGTCTTTGGGAAGGCAGAGAAGCAGTGGCTTCTGTTTATTAAATGCTTACTATTTAGCATGAAATTTAAAAATTATTAGTGCTGCAAAGATTGGTTTCCATCAGCGTGGCAATTTAGAAATAAAAAGATGGAACGTTTTTCTGTGATACTATCTTATTCAGAACAAATGAAGCAACTACAATAACGTGGCCAACTCAGTCTGAGATAGTGATCACTCTTTACAGTTTTCTGCATTTAAAACATTTCCTAAAATATTATACATATGATCGCAAACAAGTCTAGAGAATCTCAAGTGACAGTTACATTTATTTTGAAATTCACATATCTTATGAAAGAAGTTAATATAAAGCATTATCAAAAATGTGCTTTTCCCACAGATGTTTTAATAACTATTCATAAGAATATCTCTAGTTTGTTTCTATGATAGGAGAGCTTGATTAGTACAAGGATATGTTTTTGTAGAATGTTTTCAATGGCTCTTACTTCATTATAGAAGTCACACGTTTTCAAATAGGGTGTCTAATATAGACGTATAGAGATTACTGGGGAGACGGTCCCGTATTAGACGGTCTGCAGTCGGGTGATGGCTTATAGGCCTATCCTCCACTCTGTCACCCCATCCTTTGCCTTTGCAGGAAAATATACCTCAGACGACAGAAATAGAACCAACCAAGCTTTTCAGTCAGAAGAGTTAGAAACAGGGGAGGGGTAGAAACAGGAAAATTTTCCTCTTAAAAAAAAAAAAAAAACAATGAACAGATGAATGTTGGTGTTATTTTTCTGCTTAGGAATAATTTCTTCTTCAGCTTTTCAAGCCTGCCTATTAGGTTTCAATCATAGCCAGGGGCTCAACTCGGCCTAATTTCCAGATACTGTATACAGTTTACTCATGAACTGATGCGACTTGGATGGGAATTAAATCAGATCTGCGGAACTGAAAGCTCCTCTTCAGACCAGTCTACCTCAGAAAGTGGTAGGGGTCTTTGGTATTGGTTAGCAAGAATTACCTGTAGAATACTTTCATTCTCTTTTTCTCTTTACCTTTGGATGTTGAGTTGGCTTTGTCATGAACTTTGACTTGGCATACTTCAGGATGCCAACGACCCATTCTTCTCCTGGAGTCGTTAAATCACATCACACTGGCACCTCAGCTGGGTTGCTACAATGGACACTTTCTGTGTTTTTAAAAATCCAGTCCTTCCAG